TAAACCCTTTTATACCAATAAGTTATGATTCGGTTGCCCAACACATTTATCTATATCAATTCCAACACAACCAAGACAGTTCTCCAATAAAGTCTTTCAATTTTTGACAAATACTATCTTTAGTATGTTGCCAAATTATCTATCAGTTTAGTTTCAAAATTTATTTGGAAGTTGTAATTCACCTAAAACTGTTTCTTGCTATTTTTGAAGTTACAGTCAGGCAGTGGTCTATTTAATAATCTGATATAATTCGGATATGACTAAGCATAATTAAGCATAACGTGTAATAATATGATTAAGCAAAGGATATGATAAACAATGTGGAAATTTCTCTAACGCATTAAAATGTAGTGGATGAGATATGCTAATGCTTGGATCGAAAATGCATCTAAGTTGTCTTTAGGCTCCCGACTAGAAAACGCTGTTTGTGATGCACAATGCTCTGATTTTCTTTTCAGTTTCAAAATTCTTGCCTATTTTGACGTTGAAGTTATTTAGAACTATGATTTTATCATGCACAGGAATTTGTCGGTAGGGAGAACATCGATATGAAATTTGCCATTTTTTACAGGATCAGCTTGTAAAGTTCGAATATATGGGTTAAAAAGAACAATATGTTGTTGTTCTGTAATGGAAGATATAAGGAGTGTCAAAAAATTCGAGATAAATTTATAATATATTGAAATAATTTTGTATTAAATTCATAAGATAGAAATTTACAAATTAAAAATTGAATGTTCCGTAAACAAATATAAAATTTGCATTCAAGATATCATAGAAGTTTTCATACTCACCACCCATTTAAGCAAATGACGTGATGTTGTAAATCAACCAGCACTATATGAAGGGTTAAGAACATGTGACAGTGAGAGTTATTTGCTCACTATAATAATGCGCTTTGTTACAAGCCATTGTAAGGAGTTGAAACCTTTGTCTAAGCTCAGTTTTTGGGTACTACAAGCTTTGATTCGGTTGGTCTTAACACTCACTCAGTTCATTTTCAACAAACGTTGATGGAGAAAACAGAGACAACTTGGCGGACATTCAGTGACTTGTTGCTATAATTTCATGTTTACTTGGTTCATTTTCTTCTATTATTTTACATGCGTGATACGATACGAAATTGCAAAAGACCAATAAAGCTATTGTCGATATCGTGGAATTACAACAATAATAAGAGTACACAATACTAAAGACGTTTCCAAATAAAATCATTCAATCGAAATGACTTGTTGTCAAATTTAACACTTAGAGGTGATTTTTTGACCGTGAAGTCAACGTCTGAGTGGAAACATTCGGCTTTGGGTTTACCTGACTAAAGAACCGGGTAGCCGGTACCATATTCTTTGAGAAGGAAACAAATTCTTTGGAAGACAGGCTTTTCATATAGAGCAATAATTGTCCCAATTATATTGGAAAATCCCAATTATAATATGCAGAAATAAAATTGTATTAAACCCATAGAAATGAAAGCTGCATTGCTAGAACATTCCTTGGACAAATGTTCCAATGTAAAGTAAGTTCATCGTTTCTCAAATATTCATCTTCTATATAGCTGAGCTTATTTCAGTTATTTCTTAACAAAAATATGGTTGGATTTTGTCTCCAATTAAATTGTTTATATTCACTTCTTTTGTTATTTGTCTCACTAACTATAAATTATATTCGAATTTGATAAGGTTATCAGCTCACTGGATCTGATTGTTGATGACTTAACAGCATTTTGTTCCTGTATTGTAAATCATGAATGTTGCTATGAGTTAAACGATTACTATATAAGCAATTATACCTTTTGTCAAGGTCAAGTTTTTTGAATAGAAATCTGACATTCATTGCTCTCTTACATCTACTTCCATAAGCTTTCTAATATTATTTAATAACTACGACCAACGGTAATCTTTATCTCAATAAAATAAAGATTTATTAAATGTTTTCTTTGCAAAGCATTAACTATTCAGTTCTACAATTTACTCGAACCAGACCCTATTTTATGACAGCAGTATCGAACGAGAATGTCATCTCTAATGCCAAGCTCTTTTTTAATAAATCGCAGCGTGTACAGAACTGGTCTAACAAACTTTTTTATCAGGTATAATAAATCTAACAGATTTAAAGCCAGATAGTTGGATGATGGCAGCAAAATCCTAATGTCACAATTTTATTTGGAGTATCCTTCTCTTAGCGGACAGCTTTGCAAGGCGAACGAGCTTCACCTATCTGGCTTTAAATCGAGTTAAATCATCCCTCTCCTAAGATGGTTGCTTTAAAGCTAATGACCCACTGGTCGTGAACACACTTTGTTTGACCCTTCAATTGAGACCTGTACGACTTGGGAGATTCTACCACATATGCCATCGCCAGCTACAATATTACAAAGGCACTCAGCCACAAGGGAATCCACAGGGAAATGAAATTGAACCTTAAAATTGCTACTATATATTTCGGTTAAAGTAATTTTGCTTTATTCAAAATGAACAGTCATTAGTATAAGCACAATGACTATTTATAAATATTTCGTAGCAGTTGCTTGTTTTTTTTTACAAACGAATTTGTTAAAAGAAATTCAAAACATACTTTTCTGCTCCTCAGTCCTGGATTTGACACATTTCCTCGTATATGAAAATAGATTTCTCATATATGAAGATGCAAATCCTATCATTGTCATCCAACGAGACAGGATGCATTTTAGCAATCCACCCGTAAACCGTTGGTCTGGAAATGGTTTGCTACAGCATATTTGCACACCGCTACCCAAATTACATTTCAGTCACTGCGCAACTTACCATCCCGCCAATGGTTGATATGTGAATTAATCAGGTGGCATAACCGGGAGCTTGTGAACTAGTGGATTCTTTTGAAGTATTTCGCATTCAGCTGAATGTTGATGTTTGGGGACAATCCGTTGTTTGGATTTATAATCTTTTTCGACATTGTCTATCTGTACCCACTTTCTGGGCATAACAGAATATCAAATTCAATCTGTGGTACAGTAACACTTTATGGAGCAATGAGAAAAACCAAATTTCCTCACATTGACAATTATTATAATAATATTAATTAGAAATAAACTAAATAAATAAACCGCAGTGCACTTGGAAGTAAATGGAGTGGCATATTTCCATCATTTATTCGTTTATTTGGTCAAAGCAGAAATTTTTCAGCAGGCATTGTATTCTTTTGAGTGTCTTCTCATGTGCACGAGGAGCGGTAATGGCATTTCAGGGACAGTAAGAATAGGAGAATAACTCTCGAGACGTTCACTATCAAGCGCGATGGCTTTTTGAGAGGAGGTGTAACTTGCCCCGGACTAATCTTATCTACTAACAGTGCTATTGTCAGTGCTGCTATTATTTTAATCACTCTTTTGGAAACTAATTTTATCACAATTGGTTTGCATTTTTTTTTTCCTTTGGACAATACGAAATGTTGATATAGAAGATATCCTTTGCAAATACAGAGGACATAAGCAAAGGGCAGCAATCATTTTTGATGTACAAATTAATAATAAAAGATTTTTTGATAAAAATGAAATTAGCTAAAATTTACATCGGACAATAATAAAATGAAAATACTGTCCTTTACAACAGCAATGATTTAATTCATTTTTTTATTAAAAAAATTGAAAATATCTCAATAATTATAACTCTAGCTTTCTATCACCTAGTTATTTTGAATTTTCGTCGTGATTAAATGAAAAATATTTTGTTAACTCAAACACAAAAATAGGCGATAACGAGTGATATGGAACCCTGGGGTTATGAGCTTGTTTGGGATTTCCGTCTCTTAGATGAATGGCTTTGCAAGCCAGTACTATATATGCTTGTTTGAAGTTAGAGTTTCCCTTATCTTTAAGGTAGCTTTCCAGAGGCTATTGAGATCATCCTGATCATGGACAAATGTCGTCTTACCTTTCAGTTGAAGTGTAACTGGCATACTACTGACAGCATTCACCATTTCCAACATAGGATGGTCTCAATAGTTGGCATTTGAATTTATTTGTTTGTATGTATATATGGAGACATATCGTACTCAGCCGTAAGATCACTTAAAAATGAAGTTAGACGAATATTGATCTCATTTAGTAAACTTGGTAATGAATCTTCAAAATTTCGAGAGATTTTTGGGCCCAACACAACACTTTAAGTGTACTTTTTCCTTTTCGATATTTCAGAAGCAATGTGACAGAATAACTAACACTGATAAGTAGTGCCACGATTGTTGTTGGATAAAAAATGTATGGTTGAATGGTTTTGTGAATGAATAAGTATTTATTGGAAAAATTACAAATATTAAACGAAAGAGATAAATCCCAATTCAAAATGTTAACGAGAGATAGAATAAATTCAACATGGTGAGTTTTTGGCAAGTCTTTAATCATTAATTTTAAATTAAAAGTGATTTTAAAAAATGGTAAACAAATGACTCCTTCCTATATTGGTACTTGTTCATATATCAAAGGGTTATTTTCATCATATCGCGTTATTTTAATTGGTTCTTCTATCGATATCTGAAAAGAGAAAAGATAATTCCATGTTTCTCAACATTTTCATAAACAGTTCATTAATTGAAATTTCAAGCATAACTTCAAGAAAAACTGAAATTTAAGGTTGAAAATTTAAAAACATAACATCACTGTTTTAGCAAATTAGCCGGAAGTCTGAAATTTTTATTCCATCTTTTACTTTTTCTCTTTCGAGCTTCTTGAAAATACAGTTCTCAACAATGATAAAAGCACTTTTAGAATCCTACCTGACCTAATTCCCGACTTCTTTTAGAGATTATCTCTTCGTTGCTTATTTCGTCGTTTAAATTAACCATTGATCTAACTGTATTGCTGAAGATTACCTCAGCAGTAAAAAAAATTTTATCGCGCGATTTTAAATAATCCAAAGGTGCGTAAGGATCCATTACAATTCTAAATTTCAAGACGTTTTAATTAAAAGGAAAGCAAATAAGAAATAGATAAAAAAAACTTTTTGTTTACTGCAGTAATCTTCACTTTATGTAATAGACCTAATTTTAGGCATCTTAACAAGTTTACGCAACCCTGCTTGAACTTCAAGTAATACTTCCGAATCCATGGGTAGTTCATCATCCGTTACTTCTACGCTATGCTCACTATCCTGAAAAGTAGATGTATCATATCATAATATTTCATAATCAAAAATTCAATTTATAACAAACCTTTTGTACTTTACTAAATTTACTCCAAAATGGTAGACCATCCTCGTCGAACAGCTTTCCTTCATTGTCATTATCAATCACTCTTGAAACTGGTTTCTAAATTCGAGAACTTAGATTTTATATTTGATCACCAAGACTAGTCGAGAGGCTTTTTTGGAGCAGTCAGAATAAAATGATTAAAATGATTTTAGCTTTGAGCTAAATTTAGACTCATGATTACTTAGATTCTTGATACGTTTGATTCAACGTTTGATGCCTTTTGATTTTTTTTAAACAAATGTAAATAGAAAACAAGGTTATACAACCTTGTTTTCTATTTACATTTCATCTCTAAAATATTTTGGTGGTATTATAACTGAACCTTGAGTGAATTAATTTTATCACTTTCCTCCTTCATTTCTGTCTCGTGCCTAAAAATTTGTTTTTCAATATGTGATTTCAAAACAAAAAAATCCTTGTTCTAATTAAAAACTTTTACAATAAATGCAATCTTTTCGTTCGATGAACAAAAAATTTAAGACAAATGTATTGCAGAACAAGTTTTGCCATTGGTCAACATTGGTCAACGGCTTTCATTAGCAACTTTTGATATTTAAATAAATTACAATTAAATTTTACGTATTTTTTTTACGTTAGCTGCAAATAACAATTATCACATATTGGCCGTTTAAAAATACCTTTCAACCCGATGTCTGAATGGGAATTTTTCATCTGCACTCCGCAAAGGTATTTCTGGTAGTTCCTGAAAAATGTAAAAAACGAAGCAAGTTTATCCTTTCTGATTATCTTTTTAAATGTACTAGTCAAAAACATTTTTAATTAACCCCGTCTGATGTCCCGTCTATTTTGATGTTTCGGATTACATAATCATGGTTTAGATTTCTTCCTTAGGTGATATTAATGTTGATAACTTATATTTTAATGATAGAATTTAAATACCTTTTTGAAAGTACTTTCTTTCCGCAGTTCATTTCTTTTTTTAATTTTTTCAACAAATTTTTGTACTGAGACATCACTCATAGGACGGCTAAAGAATGCTTTGATCCTTTTTCGAGCATCTCAAGGTAATATTTTAGGAACGAAGTATTTAAAATGCTATAACAGAGATCAAGATTTAAAGGTAAATTTCGTGTTCCTAACTGCATAACCAACTTAACTTTTACCGGAATAAAGCTTCAAAATAAAAGTGCAATACATAAGAGTACAATACTTCTAATGCTTTGTCGACTTGATGAAGAAGGTGACGATCCGGGAAATTTAGCCCATCTTTGTAATGTTTTACTGATACTTCTGGAAATGATAATGATACTTGCATTATTAGGTAAATGGTAATACAAGTGGAGAAAATAAAAAGATAACTTTAACCTAATCTTTTCTAATTGTTGTAGGATAAAAATTTTTGTTGTTTGAAATGAAGTCAAGTGCTTTTCGATAATCATAAATCAATTACTTCATATAAGATATGGAAATATGAAATACTACGGGATCAGTAAAGTTTTATTATCATTCCTAATAAGAAAAAGCAGAATATGCTGTACCACTGAAATTTTGATTGTGAAGTAACTGAAATACAAAGAATAAATTAAATTAATCTACCGGGCTGCACTTTCTTTCTGCTTCTTTCGATATTTTTGCTGCGCAGCATCTGGCATCTTATGAATCACTGAATTGCTGAGAGAAGAAAGAGATTCTGATGGCGCTCTTGTTGATTTGTATGATTCGGTCTCCTTATGATTCTTTCGCACTCCAACATCCCTACCTTTTCTTATAATACCTTTTTTATTCGATTTACACTCTTCTTACTTATTTTGAAAAATATATAGGATGCTAAACAATTTCTCTAAAAGTATTAGAAAATATTGTAAAAATGATCTGAACAAAAAAATCAATACATCTCACATTTAGCACCATATTTTATTTATAATCAATGTAAATTTACTATATTGCAAGTATACCTTATTACCTTTCTTCTTTATTAAATAAGTGATTAACTATTTCATGAATAATAGACTATTTTTTCATTTCTTGGGGATATTAATTATATAATGTTTACTACATTTTCATCAATACTTGGTTTATAATCATGGCTTGATTGCCGTTTAAGTAAGTAAAGAAAAAATATTGAAAAATTATAGAACCTTGGCTGCTCTGATGATTTTGAGATTGTCCTTGAAATTTTGTTTGACTGTCGCTTAATTCTTTCTAGAAAAAGTAAAAATTTGACTTGTACAATTAAAATAATAAAGGAACAATGGAATGCTAAAACAAGTCATAGAAAAGTGCTAAAATATTTTTCACACTAATTCACATGTTATGAAGTATTATCATATTATCACACTTTTTTTAATTGCTGTTTTTTGCTTTTTTTGCCGAATATTTTTTGTTCTTTTCCACTTCACGTTTCGTACATAAACATAATCAATAAAAACTTTCGATTTTTATGCTTACTTGTTGATGGTTGGTTTCTGTTATGCTTCCACGAACTAATAGGTCTTTGAAAGATACGTTTTCGTAATCTTGATAAGAGTGATTTTTTCTGTTGCTCTGAAAATCAGCTAATTGTTATCTTAAAATTTACTGAAAATCATCACTTTATTTAAAAAGGTTTTTATTTAAAATTGGTCGCTGAAGAATTTTTCATCCATCAAAGCCTTGAAAAGGCATGAAAATTTTTTGCTAAAAAAACAAAATAAGTCCTAAAACCTGTGCGAAGTACGACGTCAAAAAATTTCATAGTGTTTTAATGACAAAAATTTTCTAAAATACCTGAAGTTCCGTCAGAATGTTTTTTTTGCTTAGTATGTTTACTTCCAATTGGTCCCATACTACTGCAATAATAATACTCAATAAATTAAATCCTTTTGTATTTTTTAGTTCATTTTAGAAAAAGTCTTATGCCGATGAGGAAAAGCATAGTTAACTGACCACAAAAAGGCTTAAGAATGAACGAAATAAAATCAAAATGAAAAACTTTGTATACCTATACTTTCATGAATTTTGCATAAATTTACATAAATTCTAATATTTTAATTGAAATGTTTTGTTAAACAAACTTATGTGGGGCTTTGGGTTCAGATATCTATAAATGTCATAACTAATCAACAAAGAAATAGAGATCACATAATTGGACTCACAAAATTAATATTTTTTAAGCTCTTATCATCACTTGCCGAATATTTTTTTACACCTACCTGTCAAAACTTTTCCAACTTTGTTTAGGAAGAAAAATTTTATTTAGCTATGAAAAACCATTCTATTTACTAGTCTATTTACTTACTTATTTATGCATTCCTGGTCAGTACCTTTATTTTTTCCTCATTTGTTGCTATTTTCAGGAAATCTACTCATTCATAACTAGCACAGCAGAGATTGCAAATCTTATTGAAAAGGAATGATCTTAGTTAAGGAAGAAGTTAGGAAGCGGAATAAAAACCTTAAGTAATAGATGAATAAATTCCCATTGCATTAGCAGGAAAATATTCCTTTGTCAGCGATCGAAATTTTTACAAAATCTTAGAGGGAAATTTTCAACAGATATCGAAGCTAATTTGGAAAATTCAATTATTTCACCTCCATATATCTACTAAATTTAACATTTATCTTAAATCTCAAAAGTTATTTCTGGTTGTTAATATTTTGCAAATAAATGTTTTTCTAAGTTGCAAAGACGTTCGATGTGCACTACGAGAACAAATAATTATGGCAGAAAAGAAATGCATTTATTTGTTTTGTAACTATACATACTTTATTGAGAAGCGCACTAATTTAATGATTTAAAAATTCTGCCAAATTTAATTCCTTTGCAAATATAAAAATGAATTAATAATCATTGCATATACTAATTAATTTCCTATATCTCCGGACACTGTTCTTGTGTTCTCTCTAAGTTATCATCAATATTTTTGTCCATATTACGATTCTGAGTTATTCGTCCTTTTGGTTTTATTGTTCCTACCTTATCTCTCAGGCTGTGCTTCCTCAATTCAGCCTTCATTTCAGTTGGATTAATGATTTCGATTCTATAAAAAGAATACTTTATGAACGAAAGGTCATGTCATTAAACATGTAAAATGAGCATCGAGTAATGATCATCATCAATGTCAATAATTATGTCTATAACAATGCTGATAATATTGATAAAAGGAAACCTTCGTGAAAGTTCTTCCTTCAGTGATTTGTCCCGCTGACGCCTCATAATTGTTGATCCTGTAAATCTTATGAGTGACAATCGTAATCTTCTATCATATCAGTAATTTCAAATCAACTCAGATTAAAACAGTGCATTGCATTTTAGTGCTTCTCTAGTGTGTGCTAGTGCTTAATGTGTTTCGCTTTTATGAACAGTCATTCAAGATCACATTTATCTTTTAAACAAATTAATATCAGCGATTTACTGCAGAAAAAGACAAGAGTTTATGAGTTCTTCTTTGTTCATTTATTAACTTAGGCATTGTTTACCGAAAATTCTACTCTTAATTACGAAGTGAGAGCAATTTTTTCGAAACATTTGACATATTTCTTGTCTGTTTTTGTTTGCTTTTTTCTAAACTATTTCTGAAAGCTTCAATACTTGTTTGTTTTCCATGTGCTGGCGATTCGTCCTTTTTCTTCTCTAATTTTGATTTTGAAATTTTCATAAAATCTCTGTTTTGTTTGGATTCCTGATTACTGATCCAGAAGGCAATTTGCTTCATTTCCATATCAGTTACTGGATCCTTCTTTGAATATGATCCAGGCTCATTGATCGATTGCTTGACAACCAATGGTTTTACTTCTTTTTGTTGGCTTTTCTTTCCTATCACCAAAAACATTAAATATATTTATGGATTTTGATAGCTAGAGTTCTTCTCAAACTTTTAGTCAGATGTAACCAATCTCAGTCATTGATTTTCTGTACCTTTCACTCCTATATGATTCTTTGCTGAAGTTGATTTACTTTCAAATAAACCCATATTATCGTATTTATCGTACGTATATTCCAAAGACTGAAAAAATTATTTCTTAATTTATAGAGAAGCTCAACTTTTCAAAGTATTACTCGCTGAAGGCGAAAACGATCACCAACCTCACAGAGTTTACATCTATTGATGAACAATACTTTGTCATGTAATAAAAGATTTAAATAGTTCTATCTAATATTTCATTACGTTCCAGTTGTAATACAACGTTATATAGATCACACAGCAACCGATGGTAGGAAATCTCATTGATAATTATTGATGCAAAAGATGCAAATGTACAGATTTGCTAATTCCAATCGCTTGAATTATATTTAAGATACTTAAATTTAATTTGCATAATTCAGAATCGTTAGGTAATGCGCATTTTTTTTGGAATGGATTATTCGTATTTTGAAGAACAGAAGTAATTGGTGACATGCAAGTGGATGAAGCTGATATCCGTTCAGAAACGCAAATAGCGCTTACTGAGTGCGTCTTATATTTTTTTATTATTAGAAATGTTTGTATTTTGTTACTACACAAAATCTATTTCTATCGAAATAATTTTATTTATTAAATGGAAAATATCGGGACAAATTAAATGACAATAGTATTGTCCGATTTGTCTACTTTAGAGTCCCATTAATTTTGGAAGCATTAGTTAATCTGATGTTCTCGATTTAAATTACCAGCTTTTATTAATTTATTATTGATTATCACGTGAAGTGCTGCACAAGTCATAAACTAGTGCACGAAGCTTAAAAATAAAAATAGCAACTTTTGTGCAAGCAGAAAGCAGCTAATTCAGATTAAGATTTAAAAATGAGTCCACAGCTACTGTATGTCATCAATAAGGTGGGTTCTCACAATCTCTTCATAACACATTATTTCTATAATTGATTCTACAAACTGATTGTTTTATCATCTGTTTGTTGCGAAATTTTATTCCATTCTTTTCAAACTTATTACTCGCTGTTATCACTGAACATAATTATAGTGATATGACGGAGCACGTGGCAACTTGTTTGAGGAAATCACCGGATAACATCATCTTACGCACAAGACGCCGTAATTACTTAATTAAAATAGAGAACTTCGCGAAATGTTCCGAAAAAATCGCTCTGGTAATTCTTTATCGGAAAGTAAGAGGAACAATATTTGAAACAATAATTATTATCACCCCGCCTAATCAAACTGATATTTCAGTTGATGAAATGCGGAAAGGTACCACCAGCAATTGATTTATCATGTTATGATGTCGGCGCTGTACGTACGCTGACAGATTTTATTGCTGGAATAGATAAACGTAATTTACGCTTGGGTGATAATATTCTCACTGATTTGCTTCAATTAGCACGCATTTTTCGTATGAATCAATTTACCTCTTTAATCGTAGAGGTTTGTTGGAATTTCTGAAGTTCGTAGCAAAGTAATAGGGAAAAAAGATCAATTTATACATACATAATGATTAGTGAATCCATGATTTCACTGCAATGTTTGCCAGCATTTCATAAGACAAAAGGCCAAAAGATCAATCTGAATGTTCAGCATGTAATTGAAAAAGTGGAGAAGGGACCACGTTCAAATCTTTTATTAGCCTTAAATTTGGTATCTTCTGATTGGAGCATGTTTTTGCGCATTAATGAAACATCGGCGCTTGTGGAATCTGCTGCAGAAAATATCAGCGAAGTTGCCATGTCGACTTTTTTCTACATTCTACCAGCAGCAGTTCTGGTTATGCTTTATAGCAGGTAGTTCTTTGATTATACAAGATTATTTATCTTATCACCGAGAATATAAGGAAAGCAACTTTTTACTCGTCTTATGCTTTTCTGCACTTGTCTCTCTCTCCCACAATTTTACTACATTTAGTGATTTATCAATAATTGATAACACAGTTCCTCAATTCGTGAATGACCAGTCAATTCACGAATTCATAGTGATAGGAACTTTGCACGACGGAGATATGAAAAAAAAATGAAAACTGATATTTAACATTTCTCTCAAGAACTTATAAGTTCAAAAACTTTTTAAATTTTGTTTTTGTGATCTTTGATCGTTTCCATGATGAAGATGTGACGTAGACATATCATCCGAAGTGGAATTAAGTCAGCGTTTTATTCACTGGCTCAAGAAAATGATCCGGACAGATAGTGAAGCCGAAATTCTCTTCTCTTGCATCCGGACACCGTTCCTATCACCAAAAGATCGTGAAATCATTCGAGAAAAATGCATTGGATTACCAAAAAGTGTAGATAACTTATTTCTTTTGACAAATGTTTATATAACTACTTTGTTTATTATTTACAACAATTAATTTTCTTCACTGTATCTACATTGATAGCATCAAATACGGCAAAATTACTATTATTTGATTAATCACCCCTATGTAATAGACCGTAGATCAGGTATTATTCAGGTAGCTTGTTTACAATTGGACACTCACTACGACAAGTTTGGAATTATTTCTTTCGATTTATTTACAGTATAAAAACCATTTCGTTGATCTATTAGCAATTTAATGGGAATTTCCGGGCATACTGTTTCGTACTCTTTGATACTATCATATTTTATCAATTAACTTGGAGAGCAAATAAATAGTAGTTTTAGCTTGAAATTTAAGTGAGTAATTTCTAAAAACAATCACAGAAAATAATTTCCAACTGATTGCTTACAACATTTTCAAGTCTAATATAATAATAACGAGTTACACTAACAATTTTTAAGATCTTTTGTTCAAGTATTCAAAAACTGGTAATTTAATTTTTACTGTACAAGCATAACTGATTATTTAAACTTAATCATTTTCGATTCAAATAATGAATTGTCGAAATTCAGATGACAAATGTGATTGAGAATACACTAAATTCATCGCGTAACCACCGTTGTTGCGTGATTCGTGAACATGTTGAACGTCACTATCCACGTTGCGGAATTCCAGACAGCAATAGTTATTTTAAAGTAAATGCCATCAATTTAACAACTAAAGCGATAAGGGATAAAAATAGGTAGTAAATAGCTTCACAATTATCTAAAACAAATAAGTAATTTCTGAGAAGCTTACTTAATAATTTATTTATTCATTTACTTATATTATTTGTAACCGATGGCTGTCTGCTTACTGTCACATTTGTAAATTATCGGCATTTCCGGAGAACGAAAGGTCTCAGTTTGCATGAAGTAAAATATAAGCTACGAGCTGAAATGATACTTAAAGTCCAAGCTACAGTTTGGACAGCTGCATGAATTAATTACATATACTGATTAATTACTTCCAGTTGATGTTTTAGCTATCTTATGCAAATTAGGATATTTAAAAACAAATTTAAGGGAACAATCAGTTTGATTTATATAAAATTGATATATTGTCTGCCTAAAAAGAAATGCAAGTGAAAAAAATCATAAAGTTGATCCAGAGAAATGCAATTAAAAGAAAATGCTTTCAGAGATGAGAAACTTTCGTTGCCTTCAAAATATTTGGAAAAGGATCTTTTGACGGCTTGTGAAAGCAGCAGTCACTCGGAAAGCACAGATACAAAGAATCAGGGAATAAGTCAGAAATCTTTATTATACTCCAATTCAGACTGTTATGATCATTTTTGAGCTTTCGGTAAATTAGATTTTAAAGTCAATGAATTAGCAAAAAGTCTTTTAGAAACCGTTCTAATGATAGAAGAAATAAATAGTCAATTAAATTTCAAACAAAATAAATGAAATTAGAAAGCTATAAGCGTGATGACCAATTCAAAAATGGTTGCCAGTGTACTGCATTCAAAGGTTATGGAGTACTTTGAGCTCAGTACTCACTTAAATTTGAGTCTGATGTCTAAGATGTGGTCACTAAATCTTTTTGCTAGTCTCAAACATTAACTGCATATTCTATTGAAGCTTTTTTTACTAAATTTTTACAGTAAATGAATAAGTCTAAGAGGAAGTTTATAGCTGGTGACAAAGATACTGATGGCAGATGCAAGCGACGATCCAGAAAGGATAAGAAGTATCGCACAAATTAAGGTCTTTTTGTTGAATAACTGGAATTGTATCCATGTCTGGGAGTTTCCATTTAACGAGAAATATCACTTGACATTTAAACAGATTAGTCAGTTATTTAACGAATTCATTATGTATTCATTTTTAAGTCACACAACTGATTTTTAGCAATGAGAAACGAATCAAATTTGGGTGTGAGATCGCAAAAATTGCAGAAAAAACTATATTTACTACATTTGCATCTGTGTAAATCACCATATTATCGTCCAAATCCTATCAAACATCGGTCCTTTGTTAACATAGAGTTCGATTACAACAAATCTGGAAATGTTTGAATGACTCTTTTGCTAACACCATCGTGTCTAGAAAAGCACAACACAGAATTGCCTCTATAATGTTATTGAATTTGTCACTTCTGTCATATATATCATGTGAAATTCAGAAACCTAATTTTGCATTGATTTACACTTTAACGAATCAACTGCATTCACATATTTTCAAAAAACACAAAAACATATTTTGACATACGCACTTATACATACCTCGAACATTTCTGTTCGAGGTATGTATAAGAAATACCTGGATGAATTTGCTAGGAAGCTTTTTTCCTGTCTAAAGGATTTCGATCACCTAAAATATAATAACTATATCATTATGTGTTGAGTAATTTAATATTAGCTATTTATTACAACTAATTAATGATCAAAAATGATATAAAAAGGAATAAATTCTTGCGTACTGTATGACACACATTTACGCTCAATCTTCTTTTGTTTTTCCGGCCAATTCCATCGCTAATTCTTCATCAATTTCTTCTAGGAAAGTTTCTTGCTTAAGTCCAGTATAAGTATACGCATACACACCCACTGCCAAACCAAACAGTACGAAAAATGTAGCCAAATTCTGCAAAACATAGTCAAGAAATGTAAAAAATTAGAAATAACTTACAGAATTTACCTGATCTTTACCTTATGCCTTTCATTCTTTCTTTCCATCCACATGAACAGCAAGCTTCTATGTGATACGAAAAAAGCTGACATCTGATAATCATTAGTAAGCAGTAAATTATAATGACATTCGAGTATCATCAATTAAAATCAAAGAAGACTCAAATCTCAGCCATCTTAATAACAAACAGACTTCTAATCTATTTCGCAACATATTCGACTTAAAAGCAGTCAAATGTTCTACAATTCACCAAGATTACAGAAGCACTTTAATTTCAATCAGAAGAAAATGTGCTTTATACTACTTACCTTATAACTTAATCTTTTCATAGCAGCTGCTCTTGTTTCACTCATCTTTAAAAATTCCTCCACATGTCTTCTCTCCGCTCTCGGTAAACTCTTGACATCGATTTCCTAGAAAATATCGTTAAATAGAAGAAAATATCATCAAATAGAAGAAAAAACATCGTCAAAATAGAAGTATTGTTAATTTATAATAAGTCTTCTTTCAGCACAGCAATAGCAGCACCCGACCACTTCTATGTAACAAAATAAACAAAAAAAGGTTATTAGACTTTTATGAAATTAAAACGAACCCTAACTCATGTCTTTCTTTCGCCAAAACTTGTTATAACTACAAATTTTTAAGTTTGAATTTAAATTTATCAAGACATATTGCACTATGTGTTTGCGTGAACAAACAAGACCTCAAGCATCGTTGGGTCTTTCCTCTTCTGCAATTTGTCATCTTTCGGCTTCGATATTTCCGTTGACGTCGTTTCAACAAATAATGGCGAATACGACCGCCTCAAGTTACACACTCGAAACATACAAATCAATGTGCTTGACGTGGAACATCGCGGAACAGTCCGATACATCTTCAAAAGCAATGCTTCAGGAGCACCTAAAAATCCCACAAATGCCCCTGCAGTACAATACAAATACTACACAACACTAAAACAACTTCACGACTAAGTCACACACTCTGTAAAAGATCGATCATTATCACGACTTACCAGTTACTCATCCCTTCATTCACCTCACCCACTTTATTCATAATCTGCTACTCTGTTAGATTATACAAACATTACCTCTCTTTTAAGGCCTTTTGGACTTTATTACCACGTTACCAGTTCTGTGCTACCCACCAATTAGCCACCCTTTCAAAACTTCTCATTTCCCTGAATTTTAAATTATTCCAGTTAACCAACCCAGTTCTCTAATAAGTGAAGCAGCTTATAAATTTCAAGAACACATCTTGCTCATCCTAGTAAAGCAGTTAAAAAGAGTTTGCACGGCTTCAAAAGCACTACATTTGAAACTACATTACCACCCACTCGTAATATTTGTTACCACAAACGTCAATATTTTATCGAAAATCCACTTATTGAATTTACCGATTCTCATTGAAGTGACGATGGTGAGCACTATCTAATCATATCAAATGTAAATATAATGAATACAAGAATATAATATCCAAATCTAATATAGAGAGAATGGATATTAATCCATCCAAGATTACGAGATCCAACAAAGTGTAATATGACAAAATGTAATATGTAATCGTACAATAATCGAGAAATGTACCGTGCTGTATGGTCAAATAGCCCTCGTGAATTCAACTCTATAAGTCATTCATAGATTAATTCTTCTCTAAACTAGTTTTTAAAATAATACAAAGTATTTTACAATTCAAGGCATAAAAACGAAAAATTTCTTTTAAAATCACAGCATAAGCATTTTGTATAGTATGACCAGCTCAATCAACTTCGCGAATCACAACTTTCACAAACCTGGAAAAACGCAAATGAAAAAAAAAAAATGAAATTATAAAATTGGAAAAAAGGACTTCAAAAATAATATAAAAGACCATGCAATACAATATCAAAAACTATTGACATATGAATTTTGTGCAAGCGGACATATCCAGTCTTGTTATTTTAATTTTTAAAATTTTTGAAATAATTAAGAAAAGAAAAAGAACACAAATTTATATTGACATTTATATCAGCAAATGGATCTTTGCGAAGTTGCTCAGCCGTAGCTCGTTTACTTGGCTCGACCTGGAAACACAGGTCCAAAAATGAATAACATGTCAAATCTGCTTGCAAGCTTTGCGGTATTGTTGGTCTCATACCACTACCAACACGAAAAACAACTTGCAGTACTTGTTCGCATTCATGCCATGGAGGCTGGAATTGAAAATCTTGTACTGTTTGTTATATTCTTATATTCTACTTTAATTTTAAATGAAGTAAAAACGTGCGATATGAGTAATTGTCAAAGTGAGCTTAATAAGCTTACATGTACTTTAGAGTATTCTGGAAAAGCACTATATTTCAAAATGAACTGAAAGTGGTAATAACATGTTAAATTCAAGCCTTACTAGTACGGGGGTTTCAATCAGATTATAAATTCTAACAACAGAATTGACCTTGCCCGTACACATTTGTAGAACTACACATCCAACGCTCCAAATGTCAGCTGCTCTGCCATATCCAACAAGTTCCTCTTTACCGTTCATTTCTGTCCGTCCACCAAGCGTCTGTACTTCTGGTGCCATATAAGCCGGAGTACCAACCCATTCAGCTACTTCACCACAAGCTGTTGTACCATCCTTCAACCTCACTGAACTTCCAAAATCGCCAAGTTTCAAAACGTCCCTCTTTCCGAGGAATATGTTTGCAGCTGGAAGATTAGAAAAAAAAAAAAACTTAGATTTTAAACAATACATCTTATAATTCAAGAGAATATTTCTCATAATAGACAACAAATCCTAACAGAAAAAATTTACGCTTTATATCTCGATGAATGATCATTTTCATATGTATATATTCCACTCCTTTTAACAAGAAATGTGTATATCGCCGAACGCATCGCATATCCAGTAAACCCTCACGACATACTTCTTCAAGTGTCCCTTCGGAACAGTATTCCATAAAAATAAGCAATTCTTCCTGCAAGCATTGGCAAGTTTTCCGAAAACTGTCTTCAACAAGAAATCAGAGAAAAACCACTGTGATTTGAAATATACCCGATGAACTTCTACTGCATAATATTTAACCAAATTTGGATGATCCAATAAGCTCAAATTCTCCACTTCATCAACTAAAGCCAGCAATGCCTTATCATTTCGTTCAATACGGATTTGTTTCATAGCCATCAAACAGTTTTCAGTTAAATTCATCACCAAATATACTGTACCAAACTTTCCACATCCTAAGAAACATAGTCTACACGAAATACATGTGGTAAGATTACTAACAATTAATTTAGCAAGTGTTTGTTTCTCCACAGATATCACAAATGATTAGTTCAAATCACAAAGTTAGATATATAGTGAAATTATTATTTTTAAAATATAATCAGATAAGGAAAAAAATCTATTCAAGATTTCATTAAATTCCTCCTACCAATCTTTTTTTCTAGTCGTTGCCATTCAAATGGTGCTCGCTTTTTCGGATTAAAATATGTTGATAATGTCAATGCTCTTCGACCACCTTCTGTTATTCGACCAATCTTGTTGTCCGCCTTCAAAAATCAGCAGATTTCCATAAAAATTCTTTGATAAGTAATCAAGGGAATTTATGGAAGAAATCATAACACGAACACCTCTAAATGTCTATTACGCCTTTCATCGATGTTACGCAACAGCTTGGAAATTCTTTGAGAACGAGCTGTGGCATCTGCCACAGAATACGGCTTAGATTCCGTACGACCACGGGAACTTGTATTGTCCACTTCACAGTCGAAGAACGTTCCATTCACCAGCACTGAATCTAGAAAACGACGGATTCAACTGTCTTTCAAGAATGAAAATTTCATTACTATAACAAAAAAAAAAAAAAAATTTGAACTAAGATCCAATTCACCATTTCATGATTACAAAGCAAAAGTAAGGACAATACCTGGAATACCGCTACCCACAACATGCGCGACGCATGCATCCACAATTTTCACCAAAGTCTGAAAAAAAGTTAGCAGGAAATATGCACAATCTAAATTTTTTGTTAATGGCATGGATATTTACAATTCACTTACCACATTATTAATCTAAATATTTATCTCTAACAATCATCAAAAGTCGAATTAACAAAAGATGTGCACTCGGAATTATCCAGCACATAATTGCTCAAATAAATTGAAGAAAAAAAAAATCAATGAAGAAAAACTATTATTAATGACCAAGCCTAACCTGAAATTGTTCTTCTGTTAATGCTACAGTTAGTTCAGGACATGCTGCCAATATTAAAAATTGAAATGACTGTATCGCCCATAGTGGAACAGTTCCATCACCTGGATTAACAAATTCTAATGCAAAATGTAACCAATCCTTTGCCCAGCAAACCGTTTGCCAGGCAAAAGAGTGACGATCCTGTTTCGGTAATATTCGATAGAATTCTCGATGGTACTGAAAAAAGGACAACAGTAAAGAGACAAACTTTGAGATAATAATAAAAACACTCTGACCTCAAAAGCAAGATTATACGCTTGTATGAGTGTAGCTCGAACGGACTCTAATTCATTAATATCGAGAGAACTTAATTCTTGTCCATCTAACACATCTCTAACCATTTTACCAGCAAATTCGTCAAATAACATTTGGCATGTTCGATACGCAAGTTCCTGGAAGATTCTGCACGTTTTAAATAAAATTATTGCATGATCAGAAAATTAATTAATGGCTGGATTATTTTATTTCCTATTCCAGAACTAAAATTCAAACTAACTCTGAGTTGTTTTGTGCTCTCAATGACGATATCATGACAAGATGCTTGCTCTTCCAGCAATTCAAACATGAAACCATTTCCTGCTGTCATATTTCGAATAAATAATTCTCTCATTTTTAGTAATGAGGGAGCACTGATTGCTAACAGACACGCATCGTTCGATAACTGGAAAAATTCTTCTGAGTCTTGTGATTAAAAAAAAAATTTTCTAAACTAGAATAAATAAAAGAGCGAAATTACTAAAAATGCAAGAAAAAAGAACGAAATGTTTAAATTCATGACTGTCGCACTGCTCGAACTTCACCTATGGATTAGTCACACTTGGTAATAGTGAACTAATGGTAACTGAGAAATATCGAGAGTGCTATTAAGGTTTATGGAACACCATCGGAAAAATATAATACTCAACGGAAGTTGGTAGGCAAATCGAAATTTAAGAGATCACGAAGATCTAAGCAAATTATTGTATTAAGTGAAATAATTTATTCTTCAGCCTTGTAAAACTAATTGCAAAGGTCTGTAAAAATAATTGTAACCTGAAAATAGCGCAAGGAAAGTTCAGTATCCGCATCAAGATCGATCGTCAAACGTGTCCCACTCCACATTTCTTGAGAAAAATCAACAAAACATGTTCGAAGTGAAATAATCAACAAGTAACCGCTGCTGAAAGGAGCGATCTAATAAAAATCCAGACTTCAAAATAACCTGAAATCTCTGGTATATTTCAAAAGCAGTATGAATAAGTAGACTTACCAATCAACAACATCTTTTGGTAATTCAGCACGATGACGAGAACATGTAATGTTGAGCAATATCCGAAGGAAATCGATATTTTCTGATGCGTTTTGATCACAAAACATCACGTAGTTACTGTTTATATTTGTTAAATCATTGGAAATAACGACCTGAATCAAAATATTCAACAACAAATACCTGAAGAGTACTGCACCAAAATATCTAGATTAGAAAACAACTAAAAAAGAATCTGAAAAATTTTAGCTTTTTATGCAATATATCAAACAATTATCCAATACTTGAAGATATATGTCAAGGAAAAATGCGCACGATACTGGAATTCAGTCATTTCGATTAATTCAGCTGTGGTAGATTGTTTAGAGAAATAAGGAATGGAAGGGAACTGACTTGTGAATGATGTGAAATAAGTAACTGAGACAGGTAGCTATGCATGTCAGCAGACTTTAAGTTATAGAGGGCACATATTTCAATATCCCTCAGAAGCATCCCAGTGAATGCAAGCGACCGCAAGGAACGATCCTTCATTTGACAAACCAGTGATTTAAAATGCCTACACGTAATGAATATTTGTGATGCATTCCTGAAAAAGCGTTTTCATTCAAGGCTAATCACTGTATTTTCATTTACTTAAACGCGCTTTTTATATAAATCATCTCTTGTAACATTATTCCTTTTTACAATATAACACACCAGCTGAATAATATCTTAACAAAACACGACCATTACACTGGTGATTTTCATCAATCAACATGTTTTCAAACATGCAATTCATTTATTTAAAACTGCTTGGACAAAATACGAAAGTAATGATTAAGAACAACAATTCTGACCGTCGCAGCGACAAATCGTCATATTCTTGCAAACCATCAGTACAAGCATTCTCAAAATTACTTCTGCATTCATCCATCAGATCTTCTTTTTCTAGCAAATAGTCATTGACCATTTTGCGCATTAAATCACCCGCAATCATACTATAAAGATAACATGAGAAATTTTTAAGAAAAAGCAAAACTGAAGTAAATATTCATCACAAAAACTTGATAAACTGAACATACAGCAGTTAAGATTGATTATTCATGACAACATAGTGAATCAAACATCGATATTTTGAAAGAAATGAAATCAGAAAAAATGCTTATTCATGCCTATCCAGACGATGTAACCAATAACTACAGCAAAAACCTACATTAGAATTGCTAAAAAAGAAAGCACAATAAAAACAAAATCTTTTAGAAACGAAAGAACAAGAATTTACAAACCAAAATCGATGCACTGTTTCACTTTCACCAGAAATTACGTTTACAGCAAAACGTCTCGCCACCGACCACTGTGACGTCAGATTCTGAATAACTCGTTCAGTCCATTCGACGCTCATTCCCTCAGTAGTGACTTCTCCATGTACCCAGTCACGAATGCATGTAAGGTAGCTCTACAAAAATTATGCTACAAAATATATACACCTAAAAAAATTAAACCTAATGATTGAAAAATATTAAAATTTCATTCATCAAATTGATAAATTCAAACATTTTTGCCATTTTTTAAAAAATTTGCAAGCATACCTTAAAAACCTCGGCCAATTCATCCTCAAACGGTACCAGGAAACCAAACAGCACTTTGTTATCAACACCAGCCAACTGTACCAATGATACAAATCGATGCTTCACAGCAACTGCAGCCTCAATACAATCGTGGCAGTCTTCCATTACCTAGAAACTATCCCACTGCTAGAAACTATGTATATATCGAGCTTAAATAGGTGCTACTGCAAAACGATGGGTAGTAGCTATCAGTGGAGATCTATTCAGGAAAAGAGATCGCCCTATGAGTGATATATCCGTAATAATTAACAGTAATAAGTAATAATAACATATTTTTTAATATATTGTCTTCTTGAAAAATTGGAAAACCGGACTGCTGTTAATTTAATCCATGGAAAGAACATCTATGAAGTCTATAATAGGTTAAATATGAGGTTTAAATAAGCACAAAGCATCTGGATCTGCTGTATAGATGACCAAATACCATTCTTCCAGTAAAAACAACTTTAGTTGCATATTTAATGTACCGTTTGTAGAGTTAACAAGTCAGATGGAAGTTGTGCAGATCTACGCATTTTTAACCACTCGTGAACGAGATCAAGCGGTACTCGCACTAAAAACAAGAACAGATCCTGGAATGATGGCAATTTCATCATTAAAAATTCTTGATGACTTGTCAAACTCTGTGGTAAATCTCGTTTCTGCTTCTGCGATACCTAAAAAGAATCAATGAAAAAAAAAAATTATACCAGATCTTGATCTGCAGATTTACACACACTACAATCACTTCGATCTCTAATAAAGTCATGCCATAAGATAACATAATACATATCAATCTAACGGTAAAGCAATGTTTTAAAATTGAGCAAGAATTCTTTTCCTGAGATATTACAGTTACGAAGTCTGGAAAATTTATATGCTTGAAACAATTAAAGGTTTAAGAAAATACGTCTAAGTAATATTTGTTATTAAATATAATAAAAGTTCATCGTTTCCTAATCACTGCAATCTAAAAACATACATCATCAAATTTTAAACAATCATTGACGTAATACTGAGGAACTGACACCTGCAAAATTACAAAATTAAAGAGTTTTATTCACAAATAAAATCTTGCAAAACATAAAGCAAATAGTATACCATAGTATAATGCATCAACCGTTGCCTGTTCCCACTTTCCACTACTTCTGCATAAGTAATTGGTGATTTCTCCAACATTGCAATAGTCTTTTTTATGGTTGTAAAGCAAACGCTATCCAAGCGCTGCAATATCTTTCGCATACCTTTACGTCGTAAACTACGTGCTACAAGCATATCGAAATTAGGAAATTGGTAATAATAAGAAATATGCTTTCATTTATGATTTTTTTATAAAAATTTAATTTATGGTGTAAAAATCTCTTTCAACTTACAAACGAAAGCGGTATAAATATTGTACGGTTGTTCACGTAATACAGGAAAGTCTACTGATGTAATCACATTTGAATGAGGTTTTAATAATAGATTTTGTGGACTTGAAGCGTCACCCGGTTCATTTAACTTAAATGATATTAAAATTTGAAATGAACAAATATTGTGTTGTATATTATGTAAAAATAAGATTTTCGAAATGTTAAAATTTAAATTAGTTTTTTAACAAATTTTTCAAAAAAGATGAGACAATTCGGAAATTTTTGTTGGCTTATTTCAACAAAATAGTGTGCAGTGATGCATCACATCCACTAATTATGCAGTAATCATCACTCAATGAATATATATCAAAGTTTTTCAATATGTGACAAAAATAACTTTACTTCATAAAAGAAAAACAGACATTTTGTGGTGATGAGGAGAATTCATTTGCATCAATAGGACTATCTAATGATGGCCACGAAAGTCCTGCAATCAAGTAATCGTTGATAGCGCTATCTTTTGGTGCAACATTCGGAGAAAGTGAAATGCGACCATTGGAATTATGATCTTTGTAAATACCTAGGATCACACCAACCTATAATTACTTATCTCATAAGTTTAGAAGAATTAATTACTGCTTTTATCATTATCAGATATCACAAACAAATGGTTTAAGGTTAACATCAAAACCTTCATGTGCAGCTCTATCCGCTACGCATTACCCATTGCGCTCTTCGCTTCCTAATCACTCATCACTTGGAAACAAACCTCTCTTATCCTGGTATACAAATCAATCGTGATATTATACCAGGCGTAAAGAATTTGAATTCGAGTTTTGACCAATTCATCCATATTTGTTGATCGCTCCATGCTATGCATATTAGGATATAGTGCCACAAAATTTTCATAACGTTCCAACATATCCTTGACTGCATTCAATTTCTCCTTAAGTGATCTTTGACTTAAGATCTCTGTAGACGGTGATGCAGGTGATAAACATGTCACCTCATTTCTATCGTTTAAATGGAAATTTCGAATTTCTTCCAAGACCACTTTTTGTTTTTCACGTTCAGCTATCAGATACTTATCATGTTCACGAGTTGATTTAATTTGATCACTTGGTGATTTCATTTGCCTAAAAGCAAAGGTTGATGACATAGTTCATTAAAAAAGGCACAACTTAAAAAACTTTGTCACTTGTATTCAAAACGAATAAACTTTAACCTCCCAGCAACTACCACTTGCAACTGTAACCATAACACATCACTCCACTTGAAGCGTTCGTTTCTGCGATTAATCAGAAGTACCTCAAAACAAATTTATAGCCATGAATTAATTTTCCCAACTCTCAAGATTTCAAGACTCTCTACAATAATAATTCAAATCAATTTAATATAAATTGTGCTTAAAAGTCTATTACCGACTTTAATCGAAATCAATTTTGAAGATTTAATAATTCTTTAAATTCTCAGTACGCATTAAAGAAAATATATATTACCGTAAAATAAACGCTAGAAAAAGGTTAATCAGTTTATCTAAGCATTTAATGAGTATAAATACAGATAAAAAAGCACCTGTTGCGAAAATTTTCGCACACTTCCGAGTGCTGTCTTCTCACACAACCGATTTAATTTGGCCATAACACTGACGCGGAGCAAGCGGTACAAACTGCAATGATACTGATCTCGGTCACTAGCTGATCTGCCTAATTCACAACGCATCATAGCAGTGGATATGGATGCTGACGGCTGCATTACAGTGTCAGCCAATGGTTGATTTGGCTCCGGTAACAGGCATCGATAAACTTCATTATACTACAAAACAATTTCTTTTAGTACAACGATCAAGATTTATGACAGCATGCCATATTAATTTTTAAAAAGGTAGTATCAGTACGGTCATAATTTCTAAAGCCTTGAAGGTAGTCGAACATATACCAATTTCATATAATATACTGCTTACCGATATTCATATTTCTCAGCATAATTTATTAATTTTAGTCTCTAAAATCAACATTCACTTTTGGATTAACAAGAGCAGGGAAAAAATTATTTTTTCTTCTAAATTATGACATTTTGATATCCATTTACGAATTCAGGAATAATTATGGAAATAAATTATTTCCTCATGGTAATCGCATGGCAATAGAGCAAAACAATAATTATGATAAAATGTGCTTCTTAAATCTTGAATAAAGACTACAACAACAGCGCACGCTGGTCAGAGCTGACAATTCAACTAGATAATGAAAATGAATGGAATGTTGATACACTATTTCTCAAGAAGTCAATGTAGCTGAAATCCTAGAAATAACTTAAATCCCTAATTATTATTCTTAAAATGCGGAATAAAAAATAATAAACTAAAACAGATCATTCGGTTAGAAAATAAACTAAAACAGATCATTTGATCAATGATGGTATTACAATGGAAGTTGAATGCTTACCACAGTATAGTTTTCATGGCGTGGAAATCGTTCCACTTGTCCACGAATTGATGGATTTCGCATTCTCACACTGTCTTGAATGTTCTCATTATAATACTTTCCACCTGAAAAGAGTACAGCTTTCATTAAAATCAAAGATTTGCAACAAGAAATAAAACTAAAATTAAGCAGTGCTCAGGCTTGTGCGATATAAACTACATTGTTAAAACGAACAATTTTTCGCCTTATTTAAGCTGTAACGTCCACCGTATCCCTTTCCATTTATTGGCCGTCCATGTTTTGATGACTGATTCTCATAGTTTGCTTCAGGCCTGGAAAATGAAAACCAAAAGCGTTTTCAGGGCTGAATCGTTAAGATTATAGAACTACAGAATTCGTCAGTCTACTTAACCGGAATATCCTGAAACGAGATGGATATTGTTAAAATCAGCTAAATTTGATTTGATAACATCTGAACATATGGATAACAAACATGTGAACAACAGGGTTTTCAGAAGTTTATCGGACACTCGTTAGTTAAAAAATAAGCTCGATGAAGTGACATAATTCTTACAAGAACATTCTCAACTGTAAGAAACCTATGATCCATTTATGACTTCATTAGGACCTTCTAAACTACATCAAGCATATCGCGACTGCGAAAATGATGAAGGGTACACAAGAGTGTTACTGAAAGAAGAAAAAAAAAACTGAAAGATAAAAGAAAAATGAAAGAATAGTGTTACCTGCATTCTTTAACGAATACAGTAGCATTAAACTGCGGCAAACTGCTACTTCGTTTCATATGGCTATCACATAATTCATTTCATATGACTGTCACATAAGCATTTGAATCCCCATCTTGTATTTTCGGAAAATTTTTTCAATTTACAAATTATCTTTAACGAATACAGCAGCATTAAACCAGTTTACGGTTATAAACATGACGAAGAAAAAGACAAACTGAAATTACTTTCATCTCGACATATGCCCGTTTTGATTAAACAACAGATGAAGTGTATTTCAGATTGAATCAACCACCATGTTCATCCATTTAACTTAGTTGTTTCTGGTTGGAACCAACTATTTTTAACGTTTCAAAAATACCGCATAGAAAATGCCACGAACACAAAATTCTTAAAATGAAAACATCTTGTGAGTAGCTACGAGAATTGCTATATATCACGTGGTCCTTCGTGAGAAACATAAACAGGAAACACGTGTTATGACACGTGTTTATCGAGATATCTCAGTATACAAGAGACCGAACAAAGGTGAAAAAGTAAAACACGTAGACACCTTTGAGACACAGGTGTGGGAAAATTAGAGCAAGAAAGGCTATACATATATGCTTGGAAAAGAGTATGGAATTGGTAGAGAGGAAGGAGAAGAAAACATCTAGGAAATAACCTACAAATGCCTTGTCTATTGAATTACGGTAAAAATGTTGTAATGGGGACTGCAGTTGACCCTCGAGGATAGGAATACGAATGAGGCTTTCCGGAGTGGAATAAACGTTACCGAGATGCTAATAAGAGTTTGCTGGGACGTGGAACGTGGTACACAACTTAGGGAAATGTAAACAATGACTTGTAGGGGCGGAAATGAATTTGTAAACTAAGTTAATTTGATTTAATTTAAACTGATAAAGCAGCACTGTCGTTGAAGAATGGATGTTTTGTCAGAAGTGCATGCTTTCTATATCTGAGTTAATTGTTATACTTACCAAAGTTGCCAATTAAGTTTCTGGTGAGTCAGTTAGTCTTTAACTAGATTTAATTAAGTGGGTCAAATTAATTCAGATTAAATTTATTTTTCTTCGCCTTTTTCGTATTTTCTTGTGGGTATTATCATGTCTTTGAATGGAAAGGAAGAATAATTGGACCAATCTTTTTCTTTTTAACTTAGAGCTTGCTTTAAAACACAGAAAGAAACTATCTTGTTAATAAACGGTTTCTGAAAAGTTTTTCTGATCTTTCGAAATTTTGCAGCGCTCAAAACTCCTTAAACAATGCATATTACTTGGATTTCCGAGATGAATCAGTTAATTAAGGTATAGATGTGTATTCATCATGGACGAGAAATTAAGATTAAAATAGTGTTTAAATCTATTAAAGTGTAACTGCACACTTCTATTAACTTGATTTTGAAGTATTCATTGGTAGTTTTGATTTCCCTTGATTCGTAGTTCTGCCTTCTAAATTCTTGGTTATATTGAATGAATTGATTTTAAGTGTATCTCAGTGATAATACCATCAATATCTCAGCTCCTCGATAATATCATATATCATGAATGATATGATTGGGGATGATAGTACATACCGGTCATGGAAATTTTTAATTATTTTGGCAAAAAATTGAAGAAACATTGCTGGTCTGAAATATGCAAATAACACAAATGTTTTCATGTAAATTTCACTTTCATGAAAATTCTTGACCTATGATCTTTCATAAATATACATTGATTCAGGGAGCATTTGGATGTCAAACGCTAAAAGATGTTAACAAACCAAACTTATATGAATTTCATTGTATTTTCAAATTTTTAAGAAGCTCTAGTTTCAAGTGTGCATACTCATTGATAAGAATTCTTCCTTCTCTATTTGTATTTCAATAAACATATCTTGATTTCTCCTTTCAGTTAATTGTTAATGTATCAACGATAATAATCATAAAAAAAAAAAAAAATTGAAAGCAAATGATTTACATCGATGCAAAAATTTCTGACTGGATCTGCTAGTTGTTTCCATTGTTGTTACTATCATATTGTTTAATCAGTTAACATTGTCAAATGATTAGTAGCAAGGACAGTTATTTAACATCAATAAAATACGATAAATTCTAATCGTTCGTAAGACTACAAAATTGTTATTTATTTCACAATTTCACTTTTGAATTTAATCAAACTTAGTAGCCCATGCAATGCATCACTTTATTTCATATTAAAATATATTCCATTTGATATTTGACATTTGAAATATGTTAAGTAATAACCTCTTCACATCAATTACTAATCAATGATCACATAAATTTGACTTTATGAGGAATATTTCGAATATCTATAAAACTACTGCGGTAACATATTCGTCCTATATGTAGTATGTAATTTGCCTTTTCAAATTCTTCCGATGCTTTGACGGAAGCCTGAATGATCACTGTTATAAAGAAATGCTAATACAAAAGGAAAATTCGAAATTTCTTCGGCTCATAGTGTCAGAATATCAGAAATGTTAAATGTGAATCATAAATTTTTTAAAAAAAGTTAAGAAAATGATGCAGTCAGAGATAAACTTCTGTCCAGTATGATATACTTCGTGACACATCATTACTCTCAAAACTATTAATAATCGAAGAATTCAGAGCAGTGATCATATCATTGGAATATTTTTGTTAGCAAGTGAAAGAAATGCAATTATTATCACATCATTTTGTGCTTAGCAGTTGAATTGACATAACATCTGGTAATTGGAATATTTCTATGACATTATTGCACATATTTTTATGAACATGAATATAAAGTAATCTCTCGGCTAAATAAATGCAGTTGGAATGAAATCTCTCGAACTCTCAACATACTGTGACAAAATCTAATCATAGCAACTATGATGTAATTAATTTGATTATCTGTCCTTGCAACTGCCACTCTTACTAACAACTGTCGAATAGCCTTTCATTGGATTTAGGAAAAATGTCTGGTAGTATAAATCATAACAGACTTGTTTAAATATTTAGTGTGACGTTTTGTGTCGCAGTGCGATGTTGCTTGTCGCACGTGTTCAAGTGCTATTTTCCAGAAAGAATCATTGTGCTAAACTGTTTAGCCGTTTAGATCATTTTATATATAATATTTATATGGGAAAAATTGTCTGCTAACCATTTATCTAATCACTTTAAGTCTTCTCACTTAATATCACAAAAGTCCGTGATCCTAACCTCAAATTTCACTCAAATAAACGGAATTTGATACCAACAAGATCGTTAACTTTTTTGTTTGCGATTCATTTTAATCAAAAATTGTTCATCGATGAATTGCAACCAAATTGCACAAATTAAAGGATATCTAAAGATATTATATAACACCGTTGTCCGTAAACATCATGAATTCCTAATGAGATATTATAGAAATTTCTAAAGATCAAACTAAGTAAATAACAGCCGGAGTAATCGATAATAAATGACTTGTTAAATAAGAAATCATATTGTCATAATTCATGTCACTATGGAATTTTAGTGGAATCAAGAAAAAATAAATTCACCACCTTTTTATTTTATTAATATAGCTATCTCCCATCAAGATAGCAAGTATAACAGTCGTTAAATACTTGATCAAACCTTAAATATTAATCATTCTATTAGATTAAATGATTGCAGTTGCTTCCATTAAAGGAAATATCGCTTTTTCTAAAAATAAAATTATTTAGAAAGTAGCTAGCCATACAATCATATGTGGTTATTTCATGTAAATAGAAATTTATATCCATAAATATGTAAATATTAATTAAGAAAAAGAAATAAGAAAAAAGTGTTTGAAATATATTCGTTTACTCCAATATCTTTTCAATTTCATTATCTCTTAATCAACTTTCCTCCTCACATAATTTCTTTTCTTCGCTTTTTTAACGCAACCGCATGTCTCTTTTTCAAATAAAAAAAAGACCTAATTGAAAACATCACTGCATTTTTGTCAATATCATATTGAAGTATGTCTTACGATTCCTCTTTATTGAGATTATTCCATTCATTCATTCCTTTTAGAACAGTAATAGTGGCATGTTATCATCATCGGAACTGTGCATCTTAGAAAATCGTTTTAATTTCTAAACTTTTATAGATAATCACAAGCTTGAGTGAAGACTATGGTAGATGTATCTTATACATTGGTGCTATTATTAGCAACATTTATAAAATTTGCTCAAGGGCTACCAATTTTTCATGAAACGAACTATGAACCGTTTCCTAATTACTTGAATTCGCTTGATTTCGATCAGCCGAAATTATCAATGGTTGGTTTTTTTCTAAAAATCTTATTTTTGTTATGTGGATTATAAAATAAAATTCTGGATATTATATCACATTTTTATCAA